TTTTGGGGAGTTAGATAACTGTTGTGGGTTGCATCCTGGGCAAGATCAGCAGCTGTCCTACGGGGACCCCGATATAAAGGCCTGGTGCCCCATGACAACAGCATTAACACTACTACTACAATGGCGAAGGTAAACAGGTGCACAAGTTCTTTCACAATATTCATGATACCCTAAGTACCCCTAGAGCTCCCAGGAGGAGGTACGTGAGAAAGAGCTCTGATGGTGGCCCTCTGTAGAGCAGAGAGCCGAGAGGCAGCAGAGGGAGTAGGACAAAAGAGCTCCACGCTTTTATTGTGCAGTATCTATAAATATGTCTCTGTTCACAGCAGCGTCCAGCTCTGGAACAAGGCAGAGCCATAACAAGTCGAGTAACCTGGCCACATTAATGACCTGGGACCAGATTCACGAAAGCACTTACGCACCTGTACATCTTTTCTCAATCTTTGGTGGCTTTGTTTCCAATTATTAAACAGTTCATGAGCCCCGAAGCACCAGGAGGCTGTTTATAACAATAACAACAGTTGAATGGCAAGTTTTCATGCTTTTAAACTGTTAAATAAATGTAACCAAAGCCGTCAAAGATTGAGGAAGGATGTACACGTTCGTAAGTGCTTTCGTGAATCTGGCCCCTGACCTGGTGTTGTATCTGATACCACTGTCATTCATATCCATGTGAGTCACAGAGTCACAGGGTACCATCTTTGGAGGGTGCTAGAACCATGCAGTGTCAGGGGGTGTCTCGGAACCAGTTCTAAGTCCAGTTGGATAACACCCCGAAAGGTCCAGGGTTCGATTCCCGCGACAGGACAAAGGCGTTTTGGCAACGTTTCGTTTGGGCCTTGTTCCACCTAATAGTAAACTGGTACCCAGAAGAGCGCCGCGTGTTGTGGGCTTCATACTGGGGAAGACACACAGTAGCTGCCCCACATGGAGTCTAATAACGTTCACGGGCAGGCTGTTCCCACACATGGAACAGGTGTATACGGTGAACCATATTGGCCACACACACACTTCACACTTATGTAAGTCATTCATACTCCCCAAACACACTTAAGTCTCGCTTCCCCCAAGCAACATTACATTTGTATTCCAAATATGTCGTTTGAGATAATTTAAACAATAACTGGTAACCAATTACTTTTCAGTGAAATTACTTCCAAATCTTAACAGCTAATTATTATTCAGGAGGATTATATATAAAAAAAAAATCAAAATATTAATGTAAAAAAACTAGTTTTTGGCGGCCTTCGAGAGGCTCAGACAAGGCCTCACAGTGTCCGAAAGGCCGAGCGCTTACTTAGACTGTAGCGATAATTAGTCCTGATGACCAAACTACACCTCAGGAGATGGAGAGACCACGACGTTTCGGTCCGTCCAGGACCATTATCAAGTCCTTCCTCACACAGGACTTCATCATGGTCCATCATGGTCCGAAACGTCGTCGTCTCTCCATCTGCTGATGTGTGTGTGCTTGGGTCTTCATATCTTCAGCCACGTTATTGTAACTCATCATCTGTATAATTTGTCCTGTAAGTTACAGAGACATTCAGGCGATTTCACTTGACTTAACTAAAGTCTGCATCAGAAATAAACTTGTCTCCAAGACTATTACTGAAGACAAGGGCACACACACTATTTTTTATTGAACAAATACTATATTTAAAATAATAATAATAATAATAATAATAAAGACGATATTAATGATAATTAATGTACTGGCATAATCCTTACCTCACCTAAATAGGAATTCTTAGCATCATTAATTTGGAAAAAGTAAAAAAGTCACATGCTAAAAAAAAAGATGCACATGAATAGTGTTAAAAAATATATTAGAAAAGGATTAGAAATTCTGGTTCAAAAAGCATATATATATTGAAATTTGACCAATGAGTTTATGATCCACTGAGTGTGGGGAACGAGCACAATATATAGATAGTTTATGAGACAAACAGGAAGAATTATATATATATATATATATATATATATATATTGAGCCACGTTACCTAACAAGCCGAATTTTTCTGAAATATTATATTTCTCCCCCAAAATTTCTGATGTGTGTCGAAATGGGAGGTAAAGTTAGAGGGTGAAATATGTGTTTGTGGAAGTCGAGTCTAAATCGACAGGGTGCTGGCGACCAAGGACAGGCAAAGAAAGCGGAGATGAAAAGAGAAAGATGAAAGGTAAAGGGGAAACGGGTAAAAGGAAGGGGGGTAGAAAATAGTAGAGGAAGAAGAGAAAGAACCGACAAGAGAATACAGTGAAGCGGGAATAGAAACAAGAGCCAGAGTGATGAAACACTTTCAGGAAAACAAGAAAATAGAAGGTAAAAGTTGCGATGAAAATAGCAGAGAGGTAACACAGAAGAACAGAGCGAGAGAGAGAGAGAGAGAGAGAAACAGAAGATGGGGAATAGGAAGGCATAGTAAAAAATGAGGGAATTATAAACCAGAAGATATACAGGTAAATATAAGAAAAAAGAATATTTAAGATAAGTTGGGAAGAAAGCTAAAGAAGGAAGAAGATAAAACTGAAGATTACGAACCATCTCCGTGGAAAGATGCAACACACACACATAAAATACAATTACCAGTGAAAAAAGTTGTGATGAACAAAAACAAACTCGGAAATCAAAGGCGAGAAAACAATACGAAGAAAATGGAAATGAGACAAGACAGAGAAAACTGACAAAATCAAGCCTAACTTAACTAAAATTGGATCAGAGACGCGCAGAAAAGTTACTGAAGAATAGGAACGTCAGAGTACAAATAATGAAGGGCGAGTTTAATACACAAATATTACCTTTGTTTCTTGTTGGGAAGTGTGTTTATTTTTCTGTAACTAAACGGTGTAGTCCAATATTTTATTTTGTATTTGTAATTCACTGTGAGTACTCTCGTATCTTGTAATTGTATCCACATACGAATAATAATAATAATAATCATATTAAATTCAAAGCTACATACACGCCTGTTTTACACACGTGACACCGCTCCTGTGAGCATTTCAGAGAATAGACAGAGCTGAGTGGGTAGTAGACCGTAGACAGTTAGTGAACATGCTAAACAACAGGAAGGAAGGAAGACCCATGACAAGACATGGGAGGACATGCCAGTAACAAGGGCATGATGCATCAGGCCATCAGCTCAAGCCGACAGCACTCAGTCATATAATTACATGTTAACTCCTTAGGGGTTAATTAACCAGTAAATATACATCATTCCCTTAAATGTGACTCTTAAGGTAAGGTAGCTAAGAGCCCGCGGCTTGTCCTGGGGCCTCCCTCGTGTCCATAATGTGACCAATCAGCAGATTAGGGGAAGATAATGAAGGAACTACAAAGACCGGACAGGAAACTCGATTGTGAGAATAATAACACGAAAATTATCACGTCATGCCTAAGTTGCCAGAGGAGGCTATAGAAGAAGCCTCATCCCCGAGATGAATTTAATTAATAATAATAATGAAAAAAGAGATAAGTGCAGTTACTAATCTAATCTATATTACGTCATTCACTGAATAAGGAAATAATTTTGCTGTTGGTATGAGTTTATTTCTCGAAAGAGATAAAAAACGTTATTGAAAATGTTAAAAAGAGTTTATATTTCCCGTTATTGTCAAGAGAGTTGAACAACTAAGGTCATGCTGAATATTTAAGCCAGGGGGGGGGGGGGAAGAGGGGACGGGGGGAAAATAATTGTTGATACTTACAACTTAAATATCTTCATTAACGCATACTAAATCAAATTAAATTTATATATGGGCTAAAATATATAGATAGAGGAGGAAATAACCATACTGAATACATTCTAATAATAGTCGTTGGCTCTCAATCATAATAATAGTTGTAATCTGCTTATTATAATAACAATCCTAGCCTACTTGACTAATAATAGTCCGAGGCTACTACTACTACTAATAAGCTGAGGCTACTAATTATTATAATAGTCCTAGCCTAGTAATTGCAATAGCAGTCCTAGGCTACAAATTATAATAATAGACCTAGCTTATTAATTATAATTATAGTCCTAGGCAATGCCCAACCACTTGAACTGGACGGTAGAGCGACGGTCTCGCTTCACGCAGATCGGCGTTCAATCCCCGACCGTCCAAGTGGTTGGGCACCATTCCTTCCCCCCTCCGTCTCATCCCAAATCCTTATCATCCTGACCCCTTCCAAGTGCTACAAAGTCGCAATGGCTTAGCCCTTTCCCCTGATAATTGTCATTCCCTTCCCTAGGCTACAAATAATATGAACACTATCAATAATTGTAATAAAACTTTAATAATAATAATTATAATCACTTTCTATCTAGTAGAAACCACGATAAAGAATCGGACTTCCACCCCCGTGTACTGCCAAGTATTACTAGTTTGGCTAGTACTACTACTACTGTTGTTAATATTACTACTCCTACTGACAAAGCTTCCACTAGAACCACTATGATTATAAATACTACTTTTCCTGAATGCCGCACAAACTCTTACTGCTATTTCCGCGACCCCGCCTAGCCTCCTCCTCTCTAACAGTGCTGTTAATTAAAAAAAATAGAGTTCAAATTACTCTAGTTGTTCCTCGTATTATACACAACTGTTGGTACTAGTCAATCCACCCTATTGATATTAGTCAAACTACCATTACACACCACTGATACTGGTCAAACTACCACTACACACTGCTAGTTAATTTCCTCGTAAATTCTCAGGCACTTGAATAAAAATAAATTAGCCATACCAGAAAAAACACTTAAAAGTTAGTATTAAAATCCAACGCAGGAAATACATTGTCATAATATGAGAAAACACGCATGCAGAAATAAAAATAAAAACTCTATTAAAAAACAATAAATATTTAAAAAAAAAACTGGCTTATTATGGAGATTATTTTTTTAGGGAAATATAAACTAATATAAAAGAGATTATTGGAACTATATAAAAAGGGCTGATGGGAGGACGCCGAGAGGTACTCGGCCGCGGGCGCCGGAAGGGGGAGGACCTACCCCTGCTCGGGACACCTCTTCTAGCACGTCGTCAGCGTCCTGAAACGACCAGAACATCTCAACATCTCACGAGAAGAGGCAGTCCTCCTCAGGAAAACATTGTCAACAACCAATACAGCCGCTCGTTGAAAGTTTTGTACTGTGATGATATCCACAACAAATTAAAATTATCGGGGGAGAAATATATATGTTATAATCCAGGTCGGCCGGCAAGATATACAAATACTCTAAATTCGGAGTAAAAATAAAAATATATTGGTATTTTTCCTGCTGAAACTTTTATACTATAAATATAATGAAATCAATATTGAACCTCCTGTTGATAAAAAAACAAACAATATTGGGAAAATCAGGCATGGCTTCCTGGGGCTGGTGCGTGCAGATATCAAACACAGAATGGATTTGCAGACAGGTATATACAGCTAAACAGGTATATACAGCTAGACAGGTATATATATTCAGCTAGAGGTACATATATACGTGAGTTTATACAAACGAAGATTTGAGGACTGTCAGAGGGCGTCTCAGAACCTATTTACGACGTACAACATGCGTACATTTGGCGGGTAAATCATACGTCTGGCAGGCAAACCATACTTGTATGACATAAATCATATGTCCAAAACGCAAACAACTGATCTGACAAATACATCAAGTCTTGCAAAAAAATTATGCGTCGCGGATAAATCTTACATCTTGCAGGGAAAATCATACATTCGGCAGATAAGTCATACACATGACCGGAAAAATCATGCAATTTGGCAGTACATCGTACGTCCGGCAGACATCTCGTGCGTCAGGCGGGTGAATCCTAAGTACGACACGTTGGTCTAAAAGGATTGATGTTAAAGGCAGATCATATGTGAATCTGGCACACCACACACACACACACACCCACACGCCAGTTGAGAGGCGGGACCAAAGAGCCAGAGCTCAACCCCCGCAAGCACAATTAAGTGAGTACCCCCCCCCCCCACACACACTGTTGGTGTGAAATGGATGGTGTGGATGGTGAAAGGCTGTTGGTCCAGACGGGATCTCGCCATGGGTATTGAAAGAATGTGCAGAGACACTTTGCTTGCCACTCTCCATATTGAATAGTAGGTCACTGGAGACGGGAAACCTACCAGAAATATGGAAGACGGCTAATGTGGTCCCAATATACAAAAAGGGTGACAGACAAGAGGCACTGAACTACAGGCCAGTGTCCTTGACTTGTATACCATGCAAGGTGATGGAGAAGATCGTGAGAAAAAACCTAGTAACACATCTGGAGAGAAGGGACTTCGTGATAAATCTCCAACATGGGTTCAGGGAGGGTAAATCTTGCCTTACAGGCTTAATAGAATTCTACGATCAGGTGACAAAGATTAAGCAAGAAAGAGAAGGCTGGGCGGACTGCATTTTCTTGGACTGTCGGAAAGCCTTTGACACAGTACCCCACAAGAGGCTGGTACATAAGCTGGAGAGATAGGCAGGAGTGACTGGTAAGGTGCTCCAGTGGATAAGGAAGTACCTAAGCAATAGGAAGCAGAGAGTTACAGTGAGGGGTGAGACCTCAGATTGGCGTGAAATCACCAGTGGAGTCCCACAGGGCTCTGTACTCGGTCCGATCCTGTTTCTGATATACGTAAATGATCTCCCGGAGGGTATAGACTCATTCCTCTCAATGTTTGCTGACGATGCCAAAATTATGAGAAGGATTAAGACAGAGGAGGACTGCTTGAGGCTTCAAGAAGACCTAGACAAATTGAAGGAATGGTCGAACAAGTGGTTGTTAGAGTTTAACCCAAGCAAATGTAATGTAATGAAGATAGGTGTAGGGAGCAGGAGACCAGATACAAGGTATCATTTGGGAGATGAAATTCTTCAAGAGTCAGAGAGAAAGACTTGGGGGATGATATCACGCCAGACCTGTCCCCTGAAGCCCATATCAAGAGTATAACATCAGCGGCATACGCCAGGTTGGCCAACATTAGAACGGCATTTAGAAACTTGTATAAGGAATCATTCAGAACTTTGTATACCACATATGTCAGATCAATCCTGAAGTATGCAGCTCCAGCATGGAGTCCATATCTAGTCAACCATAAGACTAAACTGGAGAAGGTTCAAAGGTTTGCCACCAGACTAGTACCCGAGCTGAGAGGTATGAGCTACGAGGAGAGAGTACGGGAGTTAAATCTCACGTCGCTGGAAGACGGAAGAGTTAGGGAGGACATGATCATCACATACAAGATTCTCAAAGGAATTGATAGGGTAGATAAAGACAGGCTATTTAACACAAGGGGCACACGCACTAGGGGACACAGGTGGAAATTGAGTGCTCAAATGAGCCACACAGATATTGGAAAGAACTTTTTTAGTGTCAGAGTAGTTGACAAATGGAATGCATTAGGAAGTGATGTGGTGGAGGCAGACTCCATACACAGTTTCAAGTGTAGATATGATAGAGCCCAATAGGCTCAGGAACCTGTACACCTGTTGATTGACGGTTGAGAGGCGGGACCAAAGAGCCAGAGCTCAACCCCGCAAGCACAAATAGGTGAGTACACCCACACACACCCCGCCCCACATACACACACACACACCCCCACACACACCCACACACACCCACCCCCCCCCCACACACACACACCCCCCACCCACCCACACACACACCCCCCCTCCCCCCACACACACACACCACCCACCCACACACACCCACACACACCCACCCACCCACACACACACTCCCCCCCCCCACACCCACACACCCCCCCCCCCCACACACACCCCCCACACACACCCACCCACCCACCCACACACCCCACCCCCCCCCCACACACACACACTCAGGAACAGTACACAAGGAGGCCATAACAATAACTCGGCCACCAGCTCGCCCTGCCATTCCCTGCTCAATAACCCCAACAGTAAGGCCAGGCCTCGCCCTCTGGGTGATATATCCAACACAGCGGGTCCTCCACGGCGTGATACACACCCTGTGTCCCCGTGTCCCTGTGTCCCCGTGTCCCTGTGTCCCCGTGTCCTCGCAACACTGGCTGGGGATTCCTCCAGCCTCATTCTCTCTTGCTGCTCGCATCATGACGTGCAGGGAATTGTTTACTGTGCTCAGTAAACACACACACACACACACACACACACACACACACACACACACACACACACACACACACACACACACACACACACACACACACTGACCTTAATGTTAGTTTTAATGGTAGGTTGTGATTAGTCATTTTTTTATTGTGTAGATTAAGGGATTTTATAACCCAAAAAATGTAGCACTAGTGCTTGAGAAAATATGATTGGAAGCCAATCCGTTATTTCAAAAGTCAGACACTATTCCTGTTTCAGTAATGATACCTTCACTGTCATTACTCATGCCCTTCCTTCAACACTTCTTACTATTCCATCAGTAGGTCATACTACCCTCTTCAACGGTTCATACTACCACATAAATAGTTCTGACTAACACATCAACCTCATCAATAGTTCATACTACCCCTTCGCCCTCACTACAGGGCATCGGAAACCAATAGAGAAGGTGTGTGTGTGTGTGTGTGTGTGTGTGTGTGTGTGTGTGTGTGTGTGTGTGTGTGTGTGTGTGTGTGTGTGTGTGTGTGTGTGTGTGTGTGTGTGTGTGTGTCTGTGTGTGTGTCTGTGTGTGTGTGTGTACTCTCACCTATTTGTATTCATTTAGTTTTAGTTTTGAGGGATGAGCTACGGCTCTTGGGTTCTGCCTCTAAGTCCTTAATCGAAAGATGTTAAGGATCCAAAGCAATTGGGCTCTGTTATATCTACATTTCATTTAAAATTGGAATTGGAATTAAAATTAAAACATAAAAGTGTGCATAGAGCCTCCCTCCACCACTTCACTTCTTATCGCACTCAAATTTGTTCATTATTCTTACAAAATGGTTTGTCCTTGACTGCCACGTCTATATCCCTGAGTATATTGTATGTGGTAATCATGTCTCCCCTATTTCGTATATATCTCTTCGTAACACATACTTCTCAGCTCTGACTCAGAGGAAACGATGTGTGGTCGGTTCTTCTTGCTCGTGGTCTTCTGCCCAAGTGTGCTTGCATTTACTGATAGACATAAATATAAGTAAGATACGATTTTGAGTCTTGAATGGCGGTGCGCGCCAGTGTGGTGTAGCGGGCCAGCGACCGCAGGATAAACCCCACACCAACACCACCACCTCGTCAAGGACCATCAAACACTGACATTGGCCGAGATAGAAAGTCTCGATTCACCGAGTCAGTGTTCGGTTTTGAAGATTCATTTACTGACAATTTATTTACTGAGTGAAATGTTCGGTCCCTAACCGGGTTAAGCTTATTGATTGAAAATTATATGAGTGAGAAAGTTACCAAAGAAAATTGGAAATGGATTTTGAAAACGTTTTCTTTTAGTTTCAAAGGAGGAACTATACGAGCTATACTCTTCAGTGTAAACTGTATGCCATGAATGTACCCGAGGAGCCCCCATCTTTAGTGGCCTCGACGGGAACGGGAAGCCGGCGGCTTGTCAGAGGACCCTTTTTGTTCGCGAGAATTTCCTGCAATACGTCGAGCCATCACAGCAGCAAGTGGACGATTCTCAACAAAAGAGTGGTGGCGCAGTGGTAAAGCATACCCAGCGCTTCGCGAGTGCTTTGGCCTGGGTTCGTATCCTGCCCAGGGAGGATTGACTGGGCACCAATCCTTAACTGTAGCCTCTGTTCACCCAGCAGCGAATAGGTTGTTAAACGATTTGGCGGGTTGTATTCCGGGGAAAATATTAGGATTAAGGACCTGCCCGAAACTCTATGCGTGCTAATGGCTGTACAAGAATGAAAGAACTCTTGTATATAGAAATAATAATAAAAAAAACAAAAAACAATTTAGACTTGCATGAGTAAACATGCAAATCCCCACCGCAGGGAGGCTGAGCCGCGGACAACACTCCACCCTGACACCCACACTACACCCTGACACCCACACCCCACCCTGACACCCACACTACACCCTGACACCCACACCCCACCCTGACACCCACACTACACCCTGACACCCACACACTCCACCCTGACACCCACACTACACCCTGACACCCACACCCCACCCTGACACCCACACTACACCCTGACACCCACACACTCCACCCTGACACCCACACTACACCCTGACACCCACACCCCACCCTGACACCCACACTACACCCTGACACCCACACCCCACCCTGACACCCACACACTCCACCCTGACACCCACACACTCCACCCTGACACCCACACTACACCCTGACACCCACACACCACCCTGACACCAAGGACCACACGTGTCAGAGGACATGTGCCTTAAAACCAGTAGTCATCAAAGGTGTTATTACAATGCTGTGGCTCCGGCCTCCTGCCTGCATATGCCACTGGGATGTTCCCTGCAACTCTCGCCCTAATGCCAATACTTCTCAAAGGCGTTATTACGGTGCAGCTTCCCAAGCCTTTCCCCCCCCTCACCCACCCACCCATATGCTACCGGGAAGTGTGTGTTTAATAGCAGGAAAGCTGCTTTAAGAGCATAATAATCTGGATTTTCAAGCTTCAGTATTTTATCTTGCCGTGTAATGGTAAGTGCAGTTTAGCTGAGAGAACTAGGTGGTTGACCAGCTCATTATAACAGGTGGATAATGAGCTTCTTTAGCATTATTCACTGTTAAAGTAGTTCATTAACCAGTGGTCCACATTTCTTACGTTCGCGGTCCGCGAAGGATATTAAAATGTCACTTTATTTTAGCTGATGAGCCGTGACGAGGACGTGGGTGTGATGAGCAGGGTGTTATAAGGGCTCACAAGGGTTATGTTCATGAGTTGATTTATTCATTTACTGGAGTAGATTAAGTAGACTTTTTTTGTTAGCTGATCAATCGGAGCCTCGATTGATCGGATTCCAGAGGTGCCTCTGGAACCCATAATATATATATATATATATATATATATATATATATATATATATATATATATATATATATATATATATATATATATATATATATATATAAATTGAAAAATCGAAAAATCACTGACCTTGACAGCAGTACAAAAACAAGCGGGTTTGTGTACTCAGCTATATGGCTTACGGGATATGAGCTCCAGCTCCTGGGCTCGGCCATTGTCGTTCTTGCCCTTGAAGGTGTGAATGGAAGATGCTTCCATGGCCTCTCATTCACTTGTTTAACACCCGGACTGCATATGAGTATTTTCTTACATATCTCTGACATTTATGTTTTCACTTTAGTATCTTATATGTTGTGATCATGTTTCTTGTGCATCTTTAGGAGTCGTCAGATCGAGTTCCCATAAACCGTTCCCGTATCTATGAAACTTATGAATGAGGCGGATGAGTGAAGCTGGTGAGTGAATCTGATGATTGAAGCTGGTGAGTGAATCTGATGATTGAAGCTGGTGAGTGAATCTGATGATTGAAGCTGGTGAATGAAGCTGGTGAGTAAAGCCAAGGGTAAAACTGATGTATTGGGAAGAGTCCTCACGTGGGCCAGAGTATCTCTCAGGAAGGAAACAAAGGGTGACAGTGAGAGTAGAGACACCAGAGTGGAGAGAGAGAGAGGTTATGAGTGGAGTACCACAAGGGGTCGGTTCTAGGGCCCGTCCTGTTTTCTAATATACGTCAATGACCTGACAGAGGAAATTGACTCCCTCATATCAATGTTTACAGATGATGCAAAACTAATGAGACGAGTCAGGTCTGGGATATAGATTGTGAGGCATTGCAAACGGAATTGAACACACTCCAGAAGTGGTCTGAAAAATGGATACCAGAATATAACTCAGCCAAATGCAAGGTTATAAGGACTAGAATAGAAGTACGAAGACCAGAACAGCAGTATAGGATGAAGGGAAGACAGATTCTTCAATCAGAAAATGAGAAAGATCTGGGAGTGGATATAACCCCAAATCTGATGGCAGTTGCTCACATTTAGCAGAATAACAACAACTGCTTATGGCGTACTGACCAACATCCGAGTATCCTTCAGAAACTTGGACAAGGGGGGGGGGGGCTTTTCGGGTCCTGTAACAGCGAAGGTGAGACTCACTCTTGAATATGCATCAGCAGCATGGAACCTTTACTTGAAAAAAAACCAAGGAGAAACTTGAAAAAGACTCAGAGCGAGACTCGTTCCTGAGATAAAGGGATTGAACTATGAGGAAAGACAGAGAATTGGCCCTTCCCACACTAGAGGAAAAGAGAAATAGGTGGGGACATGATAACAATATGTAAGATCCTAAGGGAAATTGACGAAGTAGACAAAGCAACATTACTTAAAGCTAGGAACACAAGAACGAGGGGTCATGGATGGGCACGTGACACACAAATGAGTCAAAGAGACGTGAGAAAGAACTTTTTTGTGTTAAGAGCTGTTAATAAGTGGAAAAGGTTAGACGCAGAAGACGTTGAAGTTAATTAGAGTCAAAGTTTTATATATAAATTATGATAAAAACACGTGAAATGCTCCATTTCATTAATCTAAGAAGAAGACGACATTTCAAAAGACATTTCATTAATCTAAGAAGAAGCAGAAGACGTTGAAGTTAATTAGAGTCAAAGTTTTATATATAAATTATGATAAAAACACGTGAAATGCTCCATTTCATTAATCTAAGAACGTTTATCAGCCGCGCTATGATCCTAGGTCGACCCTGCTAGCACATCTAGGTGAGTACACACACACACACACACATATATATATTACAGAGGCAGGGCTTGTCAGCTATTGGTCGACCCTACACACATCAAGGTAAATACATATAAATACACATATACGGTTGTACCTAGAATCACACACATAGAAACAAGCACACTAGAGGAAAAAAATTACACACAAAAATACATACATTGAGAAAAACATATAAGCTTTAAAATACAGGCAAACACACACACGAAAACATGTTAGTAGACTGAGTGTTTGATGACAGCAACAAGTAGACGTGTGTGTTTGTGTGTGTATGTTTGTGTGTGTTTGGAAGTGTGTGTGTGTGTGTTTGTGTGTGTTTGGACGTGGGTGTGCTTGTGTGTGTGTTTGAACGAGTGTTCTCACTTATGGAAACGGGACTGAGATCAACAGTAGAAATAATCAAGATAAAAAATAGCTGACGAACGAGAGAGAGAGAGAGAGAGAGAGAGAGAGAGAGAGAGAGAGAGAGAGAGAGAGAGAGAGAGAGAGAGAGAGAGAGAGCGGTAGCATCCAAGACAACAACAATAATCACGTAAAAACCACACTAACAACAACAACAACAAAACTCAGGGAAGAGTACAATTGTAACAAGAAGCAGAGAAGAACGAGAAGAAAAAGAAGGAGAAGAAGACCACCACCAACAACAACAATAACAAGAAGAAAAAAGAAGGAAAAGGGAAGAAGATACAGATGTGGGAGAGGCGTGGGCAAAGTAGAAGGAAGGAGTGAGAGAAAGAAAGAGGGAGGAAGAGAAGGGTGGAGGAAAAGATAAAAAAGAATAGAGAGAGAGAGAGAGAGAGAGAGAGAGAGAGAGAGAGAGAGAGAGAGAGAGAGAGAGAGAGAGAGAGAGAGAGAGAGAGAGAGAGAGAGAGACAGAGAGACAGAGAGAGAGAGAGAGAGAGAGAGAGAGAGAGAGAGAGAGAGAGAGAGAGAGAGAGAGAGAGAGAGAGAGACAGAGAGACAGAGAGAGAGAGAGAGAGAGAGAGAGAGAGAGAGAGAGAGAGAGAGAGAGAGAGAGAGAGAGAGAGAGAGAGAGAGAGAGAGAGAGAGAGAGAGAGACAGAGACAGAGAGAGGCGAGGTAGGGGTCCGACAGGTACATACCGAGGAGTGAGCTGCCGTGTGCTCAGTGAGTGCAGAAGGGCTCAGCGACACGGTGACGAAGGAGGACAGGTCCCGCTGCAGGCGCTGCAAGTAACCACACGTCAGCACCTCCGCACGGGGCCACAGCACCGGCAGGAGCGGAGTAGGACTCCGGCAGGAGGCCCAGTAGAGGCACCAGGACAGGAAGCACAGAAACACGGGGGAACAATCCCCTGAGCACAGAGACAGGAAGCCTGGAGTGTGTGTGGCTACCAGGCGCCAGCAAGGGCCAGGAGTGAGGATGAGAGCAGGCGGAGGCCAGCAGCAGCAGCAGCAGCAGCAGCAGCAGCAGCAGCAGTGTGATCAAGTACAGGGTACAGTAGGAGGTGAGCGCCCCCTGGGGGCCTGCCACAGCAACTGCAGTCAAGACGAAGCAAGACTTCGACAAGGAGGAGGAAGAACTGGAGTAGGAAGAGGAGGAGGAGGATGAGGAGGCATCTTCCTTCAGTGGTTGAGAGGAGGACTTAATCAAAGTATGAAGACTAATCGAGAGAGCACAGTAAGGAGTGGACGTCTTGACAGGGGGGCGGGAGTCCCAATCTACACATAGTTCTTTCTTTGAGCTTAAGAGTATGAAAATGGAGTCAACAGGTGTAAAGATAAATCTATAAACAAATAAATTAAATGATTAAAATTATGCATGATTAAAAAATTATTAAATGCAAGCAAACTGAAATGTCTCGTAATATTATACAATAATACAACTAAATATTTGCAAAAGAGCATACTATAATATTATGAACACTATAACAATTAAGTAATCAACACTAAAAAATAAACCATGTTTGCAGGAGAGTGAAACACGCACTCTCTTAGAGTCGTGTCCGGGAGCCGGACGTATTATGGACTGTCGTGGTAAGTGGACAGTCAGAGTCACCAAGTCTTCAGATGATACCAGATGATATAGTCTGATATCATCACCAGATGATACATCTGGTGTGACGAGGCAAGATGACTGAGGATGCTGTCAACTGGCCGGCCGGCAGGCAAGTACGCTGCAGCTCCGTATTCACCATCTTTGGTTTCTTTTTAATACTAGAAGCTGTTTTAGTTGATCAGGTGGGAGAGAGGGTAGGGCTGAAGCTGTAAGACTGGAAGATACTTTTGGAAACTCTTGAAAGAGGTTCCCGGAGACGGTACCAGAGACTCATGGAGGAATGTGATTTCTCTGTGTATTTAAAGAGGGTCGTCAGAGGTAGAATTACTGGACGACAGAGTGCATGAGGGAAGTGTGTGAAACCGTGGTTCGGCTTCAGTGGAAGCCTCCGGAATCCTCGAGGGTGCAGTAGTATTCCTCACTTATTTAGTTGTCCAATGTCCCAAGCATCGTGGTCACAGCCTCCCGGCAACAATGACTCGCTCCTTGCCCAGCTCTGCTGTCTTCTTCCTCTACAATGATTAGATCTTTTTATGGGGTTTTACCTGATTACTTGCGATTGGTACTGTATGATGTATGCGTGCTTGTATGTGTGCGTGTATGCGAGCGAGCGAGAGAGAGAGAGAGAGAGAGAGAGAGAGAGAGAGAGAGAGAGAGAGAGAGAGAGAGAGAGAGAGAGAGAGAGAGAGAGAGAGAGAAAGTGAGAGAGAAGACAGAACACTTGCACATGCAAGAATCTGAGACATCAGTTGTTAGAGCCGTTTTACGCCTCGCCTGAGGGGGGCGTCGATCGTGTTTACTCCGGCGAGATTAGCCTGGGATTATGGCACTTAGAGCCGGGCCGCGTAAGAGCGAGAACAGCCTACCGGGAAACACTAGAGTGTGCCGGGTGTGTGATGACAGTGCAGGGACTCCCGCCCCTCACAACTGCTAAGGGGTAATAAGTAAGGGTTAAAAACAGGGGCTGGTAGGGACTCTCGCCTCTGAAGCTAAGGGATACATAGAGAGGCTCAGACAGGCGCTCGTGCGCCAGGCGAAGGACAGACCCCTCCGGCGCTCCTCTTCACTTATTAACAAGGGTTCCCAGAATTTTTGATGGGTATAATGTTTTAATATTTTTTTGGGGTGTGGGCTGTGGGAATATTTGGAGGAGGGCGGGGGAGGGGGGGGGGACTACACATGTGTCTGGGAGGAAGGTGGGTGATGATACATGTGTCACTCACCAGGATATCACACAAAGTCACCTAGCAGGATATCATACAGTCACCCGCCAGGATATCATACAACAAAGTCACTCACCAGGATATCATACAACAAGATCACCCACCAGGATATCATACAACAGTCACCCACCAGGATATCATACAACAGTCACCCACCAGGATATCATACAACAAAGTCACTCACCAGGATATCATACAAGATCACCCACCAGGATATCATACAAGATCACCCACCAGGATATCATACAACAAAGTCACCCACCTGGATATCATACAACAGTCACCCACCAGGATATCATACAAGATCACCCACCAGGATATCATACAAGATCACCCACCAGGATATCATACAACAAAGTCACCCACCAGGATATCATACAACAGTCACCCACCAGGATATCATACAACAAAGTCACTCACCAGGATATCATACAAGATCACCCACCAGGATATCATACAAGATCACCACCAGGATATCATACAACAAAGTCACCCACCAGGATATCATACAACAGTCACCCACCAGGATATCATACAACAAAGTCACCCACCAGGATATCATACAACAAAGTCTCTCAACAGGTTATCATACAAGATCACCCACCAGGATATCATACAAGATCACCCACAAGGATATCATACAACAAAGTCACCCACCAGGATATCATAGAAGATCACCCACAAGGATATCATACAACATAGTCACCCACCAGTATATCATACAACAAAGTCACCCACCAGGATATCATACAACAGTCACTCACCAGGATATCATACAAGATCACCCACAAAGATATCATACAACAAAGTCACCTGCCAGGATATCATACAACAAAGTCACCCAGCAGGATATCATACAACAGTCACTCACTAGGATATCATACAACAAAGTCACTCACCAGGATATCATACAACAGTCACTCACCAGGATAACATACAACAAAGTCACTCACCAGGATATCATACAACAAGATAACTTAGGTTACCTGTCGATGATTCCTAGGATCAACGTCCCCGCGGCCCGGTCTCTGACCTGGCCTCCAGGTTGGTAGTCTGGTCAACCAGGCTCTACGCAGCCTGACGTATCACCCACAGCCTGGTTGATCAGGTATCCTTTTAAGGTGTTTAACAAGCTTCTTTTCAACACTGTGAGAGGTCGGCCAGTTATGCCCCTGAAGTGTCGCGGGAGAGTGTTGGAAAGTCTTGGGCTCCTTGATATTGATGGAGTTCTCTCTCAGCGTACCTATTGCACCTCTGCTTTTCAACTGGGCTATTTTCCACATCCCGCCATGCCTCCTGGTCTCATGTGGTGTTATTTCCGTGTACAGATTTGGAATCAGTCGCGCCACACCTGTCTGTGGCTCTCAGGGCGTCAGTCCGGCCGCCTCTTCGTCGCCACACCTGTCTGTGGTTCTCAGGGCGTCATCAACACCCACCAGACCTGTCGCTCAACATTAAGGGTGAGTATTGCAACTTTCAACCCCGCCCCTGCTCGATTCTTTAGCCTTTATGGTTCTCTTTCTCACTTTCTCTTATTCGTCAGTCGTTCTTTGTCATAGCCTGTCTCCCTTGCATTTTTTTCTCCTCTTTCTAGCTTTCACTTCCTTTACTAGATTTTCCGTTTGTTTAACTGGTTTCCTGCCCTCTTCCTGTCTCTATTTCCTTCACATATCTTCTCTTTTCTCCGTCATATCCTCGAATATATTTTATTTTATACCTTTTATTCTTTAACTTTCTAGTTTGTTTTCTGTCTTCCTCCTCTTCTGTATTTACGGCTCGTATATTTTCTTGCTTTTATCTGTCTATTCACATTTGCCTCTACTTTCATTTCTTTTCTTTTTATCTTTCCATTTTGTCACATGTATTCCCTTCATTTGTTTCTCTTCATGTCCGGCCGTCTCACTGCCTTTCTTCCTCCTTCCATTCCAGTATAGCACGTCTCTTCCTTCCCCATCCTTCCTTCCCTCCCTTTCTGCCTTCTTCCCGCCTCCCTGTACGCTCCCTCCCCTCAAGATGACGCGAATAGGCTGCTGATTAAACATTTACAGTTGAGAAGTCACGGGCGATAATGAAAACTAGACAGCATAATATTGCAATATGGACAGGCATACAAATGACTGGCAGAAACCTATTGTCCAAAAGTTAACATACTGCAAACGAAGTCTGACTCGTCAGTGACCAGGCAGAACCACGTACGTAACCTGGCAAAGAAGGCAGCCAAGAAAGTTACTGCCCTAAGGCACGTCTCATGCCGTCTTGACACCAGGGGTTACAGAACCTTGCGAGAAGATACATCTCTAGTCTTGTACTCGTATTACTGGTGTTGTGACCAGTCTGGTTGGACTGGTCACCAGAGCCCGACCTTACAGTTATGAATAAGGTCAATATTCTCAAGGCTCTCCACCTGGGCCAACTTCGTGTACAAGGGAAAACTAGCACAGGTAAGACAAGGAGTTCAGCCAACAGCCTCATGCTGGTCATGCTGTTCTCAAGAACATCACTCCACCAGCGAACATTCATTCCCAGGCTAACTCGTGTCTGTACTGTATACTGTACACGTTCTCGCAACATGTTGATAAGCGTGAAATCAATTCAACCAATCACATGAAGGCTCTGGCGCACAGTTGGCTCCTGGCTCATCCTGTTCCTTGCATGATAGTTCCTTTGAATTATATTGTTTATTTCCAAAAGATACGAATAATATACTCATTAAATATATGAGTTTCCAGAGGAATGCTGCAGATGATTGATGTATGATAGCAGCTCTTTGCCTGCAGTTTGATAAGGAACATCAATGACATTCTTTGTGTTCCTTAGTTTTTGGTAAAATAAGAAATGGAGAAAGAGACATGGTGGTCTCCACTCGCGCCACCGAGATCTTAGTGCTGGAATCATATTCTCTTGTGTCGTCCACCAAACATTTGTCCAGAATATCAAGAGGTATATTTTGTCATGCCATGTGCACTTTCCCTTGGTTATGATGCCATAAGACATACCTAGTACCCCACACGGCGCCAATGGCTTCACTGTTGTGGCGCCAAGGGTGCCCTACCAGTCAATGCCACTTTTAATATGTCTTTTTGAGGGAATAATATTGATGGTAGAAATTCTTCAAATAACAGTCAAGAGCTGTGTAAAAAGTATATATTATAATGTGCTGAAAACTGGAGACAGGAAGTGTTGTTGTGAGGGGATCTCTGTGTTAGACCCGAGCAGTGTAGTGTAGTGTAGCACAGAGTGTAGACTGATGACATCATGGCAGATTTATGACATTTTGACGACGCCTGCCGCCCTCGGCCCTCTGCCTGCCGCCCTCGGCCCTCTGCCTGCCGCCCTCGGCCCTCTGCCTGCCGCCCTCGGCCCTCTGCCTGCCGCCCTCGGCCTGCTCTGCCTGCCGCCCTCAGCCTGCTCTGCCTGCCGCCCTCAGCCTGCTCTGCCTGCCGCCCTCGGCCCTCTGCCTGCCGCCCTCGGGCCTCTCGGCACTGTGCCTGTTGCCTGTTGTCATAACGCGGCCGAGGGTAATACTCAGATTACTACCCTCTAGATGCCAGACTGACTGGTGGTAGGTTGGGCCACGCCAGGTGTGCAGAACGGGAGAGGGGTGTGGGAAAGGAAAGTGAGGGTGGGAAGGGAACGGTAGGAGAAGGGTAGGGGTGGGGGGGGGAGGTGAGGGAGGGGCAGGAGAAGGGTGAGGGGGGGGGGGCTAAGGGAGGGGTTGGGAGAGGAAGAAAGCGACAACCATCACCGAAGGAACGAAGACACGACAGGTAAAGGTGACAAGACCAATCAGTCAAGGAGAGACAGACCGAGGAGGGGGGGGGGAAGGGAGGAGAAGAGAGGAGGGGAAGAAGACGGTGGCATGGGAGAGAAGGAAGCGGTGGGGGGGGGGGAAGATGAGGCAGAGAAGGACCTCATAATGAGAGGTCAGGAGACAGCACTAACAAGGCACCAAACACGGCCTCATTTCTCACAGAAATGTTCCCCCTCTCTGACATTGAGGGAAGGGAAGGTTAGGGTAATTGGAGGATTGGGTGCGGGGGGGGGGGAGGGTAGGGGGTAAAGGGAGGGAAGAGTGGGTGAGGGTAATAGTGGAGGGGAAGGCTGTGTTGGGGTAATAGGGAAGCGAGCAAGCACTCTTACGCCCCAGAATACGTATGCATATATGTAAACAATGTTGGTTAATACTATAGGGTCAATTAGTGAGAGTTTCTTGAGTGGTAAGAAACGAAGAAGGAAGTCATGCTTAAAGAGCACTCAAGACCCGTCACTAAGAAGACCCGTGACTAAGAAGACCTTTGCACTCCGACTCCCAAGTGCTGCCCACTCGGCTCACACTCGAGACGCTCGGGTTCACTCTCCGGCAGTCCATCAGCGGGAAGTGTAAATATATTGAATTAACTCTGCCTCTCCAGTTAAAAAGACTGCCTGCTAGCCTCAGACTTCTGGCTTCATCTGGACTACACATATGTTTTCTCAGTGTCGCACCTCTCCTAATGTGTGTGTTTGTTTACTGAAGAATTGTACTCTTCATTCCGTGTAAACCAATCAAGAGACGCGTCAGTGTAAACCTATCAAGAGACGCTTTACCCCATGTAAACTCAGAACAGGCACATCACGCCATGTAAACCCACAAAAAGCCGCTCCATCCCTGTGGAAACTCCAAAGTAACGCCTTGCCTTCCTGTAAACTCACCAGGAGAAGGTCCACTCTAGAGTAAACTCTCTTAATGTCTTACCCACACTACAGCCACTGTGACATCTGATCCCCCGGTGGATCACCAGGATTAGCTGGGCTGGTGTCTCCCATCTCCCAGCTTACTCAGTACCACACACACGCCTCCCAGCTTACTCAGTGCCACACACACGCCTGCCAGCTTACTCAGTACCACACACACGCCTCCCAGCTTACTCAGTGCCACACACACGCCTGCCAGCTTACTCAGTACCACACACACGCCTCCCAGCTTACTCAGTGCCACACACACGCCTGCCAGCTTACTCAGTGCCACACACACGCCTGCCAGCTTACTCAGTACCACACACATGCCTCCCAGCTTACTCAGTACCACACACACGCCTGCCAGTTTACTCAGTACCACACACACGCCTGCCAGCTTACTCAGTACCACACACACGCCTCACAGCTCACCCAATACTATAGGCACACCTCCCTACACACCTGCAAATATAGACCTACACACCTGCATATATAGCCCTACACACCTGCATATATAGGAGTGTGTAGTAATGACGAGGACACACTTGGCAGCGGGCATGACTCGCCTCTTTCAAAAGGTTTCAAATGATCAGGTGTTAACCTCAGGGCCGTGTTAACACGTGGTCTTTCTTGTCTTGGACCCGTATTTCCGTGGCCAATATTGGACCCGTATTTCCGTGGCCAATATTGGACCCGTATTTCCGTGTCCCATCTTGGACCCGTATTTCCGTGGCCAATATTGGACCCGTATTTCCGTGTCCCATTTTGGACCCCTTTTTCCGTGTCCAATATTGCCCTCTTAACTGTATTTCCGTGTCGTATTATGTTCCCATCTCTCTCATCCCTATCGTAAGTTGACCACCATTAAAACCTAAACAAAACACAGGAGTGAAGATAAACACTGACTGACGCCTCGCCTCCTTATACTGAGTCACATATATAAGCTGGACACTTCACCTTTCAGCGGCTTGTCACACATATGGCTGTTGACCAGGCTTGGACCATCTGGCTAACTGCATTCTATTCTTTAAGGCGAGGATATATTAGAATTAGAACCCCCCACACCTTTCTCCAAGGCCCTCTCCAAGACCTCCTCCTTCCCCCAGCTCCACACCCCCACCGGGCTCCCAGAGGACCTGACTCACGTGTCTATTGTGGCTGCTTCTGCCCATTAGCTCATGGACCGAGGAGACAATGTCGGTGAGCTCGGCCTTGGTGATGCAGCCGTCGCCGTTCACGTCGTACAGCTTGAAGGCGAATTTGAGCTTGTCGTAGGCCGTTCCTCGTAGGAGCTGCGACAAGCTCACTAGAAGGTCCTGTGAGGGGGAGAGACAGAGACGGAGTGGCAACACTGCTTCAGAGGTTTAACTGTGTGTATACACGTGTGTACATGTGTGTTGGTACGTGTGTACACGTGTGTGTACACACGTGTACGCGTTCTGCGCTCCTGTCTTTTCCTCACCTTGCTGTCCAAATACCACCGACCTCTGTCACTTCTGTCTGACTCTCTTGTGTATCCGTATCTGTTTCACTCTATTAATAAGTTAAATGCAATATTATACGACTGACTACTTGTCTGTCAAGTTGCATTCCTATGTATAAAATATGTCTATATAAATGTTAACAAATTAATATATATATATTTATGTATATTTATGCATATATATATATATATATATATATTTATGTATATTTAGGCATGTATATATATTTATGTATATTTATGCATATGTATTTATATATGTATGAATTGATATGTATATTTATATATGAATTTGAATCTACGTATTTATGTAAGCATGTATACTTAAATTTATTATTTAATAATGAGTTAGTTCGCTTGATTTTTTGGATCTACCACAAAACATTAACATTTATTTCTTTGCTAAATTGATAAATATATAAACACAAGAGAGAGAGAAGAACAATAGAACAAGCAAGATGCATTAACTCACATGAAGAACAGAATGTTCACTCACAGGACCATTAAGACAAGGACGTTCACACACACATGAAGAACACATATGATATCAGCCATTTTTGACGACCCAAACATTTGTTGACATAGAATAAGAACACAGACTAAAGGGAACGCGTAGACGTTGTACACGAATAAAGAAGAGAGAGAGAGAGAGAGCGAGAGAGAGAGAGAGAGAGAGAGAGAGAGAGAGAGAGAGAGAGAGAGAGAGAGAGAGAGAGAGAGAGAGAGAGAGAGAGAGAGAGAGAGAGAGAGAGAGAGAGCATGATTACTGTGTCAGACGCGAATCTGCAAGTCTAGAGAAATATGCAACCACCAGGTTGTTGTGGCAGAAGGATTATTACTACACACACACACACACACACACATAGGGAAGAAGGTGGTGGAGGCCAAGACCGTCAGTAGTTTCAAAGCGTTATATGACAAAGAGTGCTGGGAAGACGGGACACCACGAGCGTAGCTCTCATCCTGTAACTACACTTAGGTAATTACACACACACACACACACACACACACACACACACACACACACACACACACACACACACACACACACACACACACACACAGATAGGTATACTGACATTATACGCATACAGGAACACTGACAGACAGGTACACAGAAAGACCCACAGACAAATACACAGACAGATGAATTGTACGGGTCATTAGTGACCTCTCACGAATCACTGGTAACCATCTACTGACCACTTGTAAATCTTCACGCATCTGTGATAAGCTTACACGCAGCCCCCCAGTGACCCCCCAGTGACCCCCAGGTCAAACGTCACGAGGGTGCTGGGGAGCTGAGCTTCCCCGAGCCAGGAGCTAAGCTTGACGCGGGTGAGAGCTTGGTCCAGCACACTGTTGCTTGGAGCGGCCCGCAGGCCCACATATATCCCCTCCAACCCGGTTAGGCCAACATCTCTTGCAGAAAACATATATATAGTACATATATGTACTATATTTGGCCTAGAAATATTTAAGTTTGGTTTTTAGCTTTATTTTTTCCAGACTCTATAAAGTGAATAGAACCAAAATCTACTATCTAATTATCCATTACGTCAATGTACGATGGTTCGCATAGTTACAAAAAGTACAGAAAGGAAGATGGGCTGGAGGTGCATGCAGTATTCTCTGGTTGTGCCTATGGCACCCCTGCTCCTCACTGGCTCTATTCTGCATTTCCTTCCATATCGTTCACTCCAGTTTGTTGATATTTTACTGTGTAGATTTGGGACCTGGCCTTCTAGTATCTTTCATGTATGTATTATACTTCTCTCGTCTCCTTTCTAGAGAGTATATTTTGAAAGCTCTGGGACGGTAATTTAGGTGTGTTATCGTGTGTGTGTGTGTGTGTGTGTGTGTGTGTGTGTGTGTGTGTGTGTGTGTGTGTGTGTGTGTGTGTGTGTGTGTGTGTGTATGTGTGTGTGTGTGTGTGTGTGTGTGTGTGTGTGTGTGTGTGTGTGTGTGTGTGTGTGTGTACTCACCTAGTTGTACTCACCTAGTTGTGCTTGCGGGGGTTGAGCTCTGGCTCTTTGGTCCCGCCTCTCAACCGTCAATCAACAGGTGTACAGGTTCCTGAGCCTATTGGGCTCTATCATATTTACACTTGAAACTGTGTATGGAGTCAGCCTCCACCACATTGCTTCCTAATGCATTCCATTTGTCAACCACTCTCACACTAAAAAAGTTCTTTCTAATATCTCTGTGGCTCATTTGGGCACTCAGTTTCCACCTGTGTCCCCTAGTGCGTGTGCCCCTTGTGTTAAATAGCCTATCTTTATCAACCCTGTCGATTCCCTTGAGAATCTTGAATGTGGTGATCATGTCCCCCC